TCATTACAAAAGTGCCACTTATGTACATTAGGTTATATAGTATGTAGTAGCTGGTCCAAGTGGAACCTAAGGCTTAATGCATCTTTTTAACAATGAGGTTGTCCCACCTATGGCCTCCCTAAAACTAGTCATAGCCACTGGGTGGTGGTCATGTAAGCATGATCCATCCACCAAATTATTTTACCCAGGGTTCTCTTGTGATGGGCAGAGAACACCCATTGCTACCATCAAGTTCTTTTCTGAGAACTTCCGGTCTGGGGGCTTTTGGAGAAGTCACAAACATACTATTGTTTGCTGATGGCTAGATCAGGCAACAAACATTTTATCTTAAAATCTTATGTCTGCATGCACCTTTACTTTTATGGTATGATTTTTTTCTACCTATAGCATCAACTGTTCAATTTTATCTGAGTACTAAAAAGCAAGCACGTTGATGATTAAAAGCTACAATCTACCGAGACATTGTCTAGGATGACTAATCAGAGTCAATCTTTCTTTGCTTCTTTATGAGCTATGTCAAGCAGGTAGTTCACAGAGATACATAATGTGTAAAGTGCTACACAATCCTTTTATTTCAAGTCGAATTAAAATGTTTATTTCTGACATTTAGTGGTCCTGTCAACAATTTCAATAGAATTTTTAAACAGCCTCATGCTTCTATTCCCCCAAAATGATGTGCAGTAATGGTAAAAACCATGTTTACTGACCAAACTGAGGGGAATTTGTAGGCTGCCATTTTTGACCCCTTCTGTGTATATGGTTCTTGGAATCCCGAATTTCTGCTTCAGTTTCTCTATTTGTGTCTTGTGAGCTAAAGTGAAACTCTGGGTAGCAATACAAAATAAACAATGGTAGTCATCCCAATTGTTGGGTCTACAGGGGCACTAATAGTGTGCAGTACTTAACTTACTTCACTCGCTGCCTCCTCACAGAACATTGGTCCTCCAAAGCCCCTCCTTTTTTCTGGTTGTGTGGCCACCCTCTAGCCAACATCATCACGTAAAATGCAGCACCAGCTTTGGCAACCAATGTAGCCTTGAAAAACTTTTCTCAATAAAATGATTAAACAGAAAAATCGATGCATACATTTTTACTTGCTGATACATTTTACTTTGTTTGCTTCTTCTATGTAATGTTAGGGAGTCATGGTTACTATAATTAATTCTATCTGTACCATGCTGGCAGATCTTTATTATCAGTTTTAAACTCGAGCAAACTGACTGTCCTAACAAAAACTTAAAGGTTTCAAGGCTTGGGTGGTACATTGTATGTAGTATGTTGTAATGATCCAATAGTCTCTCAGGATGTCTCCTAACTACACACTGCAGGCTGTTCTAACTTAAAAGACAAGAATATTTTTAAATGATTTTTTACAAACCTATAATAGGTGTTTTCAAATTTGACTGCAAAGGTGGAAATACCCTCTAAAGTTTACACAAAACCCGTAATTAGAGAATGTGTAGACAGCCATTACTTCAAGTGACATTAAACCCTCAGATTTTTTAACATAAACCAATACTGTAATGTGTGCCTTACTGTAATCCATGGTTGTTTCCCTTCTCTTTGCTGCTCTTCCTTTTAAATCCTCATGTGTTCTTATGCTGGGGGAGAACTTCCCTTTGCAGCTGACTGCCTCTTCCTGTAGTGCTGGCTCAGGTTGCAAACCTACACACAGACACCATGTATCCATTCCCAAGACAATGCAGTCTGCTGCAAAACAGAAGTTCTGCCCAGCATGAGAAGAGATACAGATATAAAAGGAAGAGCAGCAAAGAGAAGGGAAACAGCCATGGATTACAGTAAGGCACACATTACAGTATTGTTTTATGTTAAAAGATCTGAGGGTTTAATGTCACTTTAACTCTTCTTTGAAAATGCTGAATGCCTGGTTATCCTGATCCTGGCCATTGTACAAGAACAAGTATGGAGATCAGGAGTTTTGACTTCACTCTGACAACTTGCTGCATGCTTGCTCGAGGTCAGTTATTCAAAAACATTTAAATCAGGAGCAACAAGGTAACTAGCATTTTCATAAAGAAGTCAATAATCGAAGCCTCTACATAGTTTCAGTATGTTTTCTTTTATGATGTATTACTATGATGATTAGCAATAAGATTAGTTTTCAATGTACTGCTTTGGTTCCTCAGACATGTATTGTGAATTACTCCATGGCAAATAGATTCTAGAGTAAAAATGATCAAATATTAATGCGCATTGCACACGGAGATTGCCAGCAGCATATACTGCCCTTTCCTTCTCTCGCCCACCAATCCATTCAGCTGCCAGGAGTGAAGAACATACCCACTGCTTTCAGGTATAGAAGAGCATGTAATTCACTCAATGTTACAGTGCAGGTACACTGTCACTTGGGGAGTAAAGAAAGTCTGTCCTGTGTAAGCTCTGACTGGAGATCTGACTAGAGCTTACACAGGGCTTTATTTCCTAGCTACTATGAAAAGGGGTCATTGAAGTGTACCATTCCTTTTCCCAAAAACAGATTGACTTCAAATATAATAGTTCTGTTCCCATCAAGCTACCATGTAGATACCGTATATTAATATGTTCTCTTGCTTAGGTTATATGTACGTCTTAGGTCCATCTGCAAAATAAGGAAATATTCAGACTACTTTGTTTACATGTGTCACACATACATTTTAATGTTTTCATTGCATTGGTATTTGCTCACATAAATATTCACTTTTCAATAAAATGTACATCTAGAAGGTGCTATACTGATACCAATAACACAATGAGCTGGTGCAATATGAGCATGAAACGATACAAACAAAAATCTCTTTTTGTAATGTTCCACCAGATAGAGAACTCAACTACTGTGGATACTTGGGATACAGTGCAGTATTACAAGTCTTTCATTACTTTGTTATCATTGACTATACAGTATGACCATACCTCACTGCTGAGGTGCTAGAGAATAGGTGCTGAATGCAGAGAGGAATAAGTTCTGTCTCAAACCAAATGTGACAAATGGAACAACCCTGCCTGGAGGCTTAACGTGTATGTACAGCCTAAACATTTTTGGATAGAGTAGGGGAGGATTAGGAACCCTGGAAAATTTTTCTCTCTGTCTGTGTCACTGCATGGGTTGAATAACCTTCTCTTTGTAATTGTCTCAGTGACCGCTGCCTCTGGTGCAGACAGTGATGATAAATCCAAAATTCTAGGGTTGTCACTGAAACAAGAGGTGAGGGTAAATCTGTTGAAGGTAAAACCTGTTTCAGTGACATCAAAGAGAATTCCTCTCACTTTTTCTGTTGCATCTCTGGGACAGCAAGTAAAGGGAAATCTACTCAATGCAACACAGATAGCAACAAATCATTTGGCAGGGGTTTTAGCTCTTTCTCTACTTGAAAAAGGAAAGTTTGGTGTTATATGCCCTTTAACCAGTTGACATCCGCGGTGTTAAACCCCCTTCCCATCCAGGCCATTTTTCAGTATTCAGCGTCAGGGGGTATGAGTTTCCTATGTTTGATTTAGAGCCTCCGGATTCTCTTTCATCATGAGGCAAACTTTTGTACACTCACAGTCAATAAAATATTTTGCTTCTAATATAAACACATTTTTGCATTAAAAAAAGCCACAATTTTAATTTCTGTTCAATTTAAGAAAATATTTGCTTAATTTATATGCAATATTTATAAATATACTTTACATATAAATATATCTCCTTGATAAATAAGGCTAATTTAGAGCTCTGAAATCTGTCAATATAAAGAACGTTGTTATTGTTCTTCGCCATGTCTTATATGAATCCAGTATATAACATCAGTCTGTTCTTTAAAAACATAGTCCGGCAAAGATCAATGTGCAGCTTCCCACAACATGAATCAGGAGTTGTGCAGCCAACTGAAACCCATCTTTCATTCTTCAGGCTACACCAAGTTTCTAAAAACTGGATAGTCATTGGTTGTTATGGTTCTTAGTACATCATTTCACTATGTTAGCCTGTAATAACATTGTATACAACTACATTTAAAATGAAGCAAAATGAGAGGAAATGGCCTCAATCCATGTAAACAGTAATTGTATAAATGTACATGTGGAAAAGGAAATGAAATGTGTCTTTCTCAGTATATAGCTGCTTCACCTTTTACTATAAAATGCACAAAGTACTTTGTCCCTAACAAGATACTGTTATAGAGTACAACCCCAGGAACACCACTGTTATATGAAACACATTTTTGTGGAAGTTAAACTGACCTTTAAATAATCACAGACCTATTTCAGCTGTTTTTTTTTTTTTTTGTCTTTAACAAAGAACACGGAAGCTCTTGGTAGATCCTGCAGATGAAACAATTGCTGATCAGCCAATCTGTACAAGCATAAATTATTAAAATGCCATCTTACTAACCAATTTAACGTGAATGATGTCCGGCTCAAATAATACATGCAGATATACCATATAATACACAGTAATGGATGTTCTCCTGTCTGATCTCTGCAGACACAATGCCTGTATTATAGTTTCCCTTAAGGTTAGGCACTGGGAAGTATACATGTGTATATTTATATACACACAATACATATATTTATATATATATATATATATTTATTGTACATATAAAAACACCAATTTTCTGATTATCCAGCCTCTAGTCTTTGGTTGGTATTCCTGCTTATGTTCAGGCACACCTAATACAGAATTCTCATTGGTCTTCACAATCTTAAGCTACAAGTATGAACCTTTAAGTGCTGTCGTAGAAAATTAATTGTAGCAAAAAGAGTATGTGGATTGTCTGACCCAGGCGTATGAATACACATTTTTCTGGATAGCAGTGAGAGACGAGAGCTTCTGGAGAGAAAATGTGTAGTGTCTTCAACGAACTCCATCTCAGATGTAATATACTATTACTCTAAAATTGACTTTGAGACTTTGATGCCACCTCCACAGTCAGTCTAGTTATTAACAGAACATTCATGCCTTATGCTTGACTTCACTGTGGAGATCCAGCAGTCTGAGCTTCTGGTGTGTATGCTGCTTACTAAAAACAAGATTCTTGTGACTCTGGATCAATTTGGATAGGAAGTTTGTCTTGCTCCTGGTGATGTCCATTATACAGAACGGTATATCTAAAAAATAGAATTTAACAAGACAAATTAATGATCATGGAATATGTAATGATGTCCCTGTCAATGTGCCTAATTCAAACTTGGAATATGTATTTTTTTCCTTTGCTATTAACACATTCTTAGTGATGGTTGAGGATTGGACATTTCAGTGAATCACACGAATCAGGAATCCAATGCAAAGACTGAATGTCAAGCCAATCCAAAAATTAGCAATTTGCCACTTCACCTGATTTGTGAATTGATTTTCTTATCTCGTTGCACTAATGTTATTTGTTGAGTAACAGGCAGCTTTTATCTAATTACTGTTTTACATACATTTTTTCTATTGCAGAATCAGTTCATAGTCATACTAGATAAAATATAAAAAGAAGACAGACTTAATATCAGTTATACATACTTCTCAATATCAAAGGAATAAGACATGACAACAAGAGAGAGTGCAACTATGACAAGGCCAGGTCATGGTCAGGGGGCCCATGCTTGACTTTGGTTCCACCTTCTTCACTTTAACTTATAATGTTTTCCATTCTGATGTCTGCTATTGGAAGTTCTGGGGAAATAATTATTATTATTCTCTTTATGTAGAATAAAAGTCTCCATATTATAATTTATTTTTGAATGTTTTAGCTTGAAGATTAAGGCAAATTGGTTTCTTTCGAATACAATTTAATGTAAAAAAATGTTCAATAAGAATAAATGATGCTAAGTTTTATTAAAAGGCTGAATTAAAACCCTTGCCTCTGTGAGGGACTTAAAGCGGCCCTTGAATGAAAATGCAAAGTCTGCCTAACTTTAGACCCCCTCCGTGTTAAAATGCAGTACCACCTGTAAAAAAAAAGACAAATTAGGTGAAAGAGAAAAAATATACTTATCTTACACCTCAGATTCTGCCTGTGGGCCTAGATAATGGTAATGTTGCAGCCTTTCCAATGAGATGCTCTGAAAGCCTAGGAGCTCATATAACATATAAAGCTGCTCCTGCATAGTGCACTTTGATGCAAGGTATATTTTAAGCTGTCATTAACCAGTTTATCTCTCACACCTGTGTACCCCTTACAATTTTTAGTTTGGTTTTCTTTGGTAGAAACAAGGCTTTCTATTGGCAATATCACCGTGCAAAAATAATTTTGTTTTCTATGCAAACTATAGAAAATAAAACTAAAAAAGTATATTTTTCTTTGGTCACAGTTTTACAACAACCAGTGTTTATGTAGATGAAAAGTGAACATTTTATTCTATAATTTGTCCAATTTATAATAGCAGTAGTGGATATATCTATAGCAATGTGACATTCATTAAGCATTCACAAGTGGTCATTAATTTCCCGTAATTTGAAACACTCACAAAAAAACAGTTACAAAAGTAGAAAAAACAAAAATAGAAAACGATTGGGGTGGAGCTAGCAGTGACAGATAGCTCTGCCCAACTGTTTTCTATTGGCCGGGACCAGCTGTCATTAGAATTAGAGCTTGTCGGAGCCGGCGGGGATATGAAAGCCGACTCTGCTAAGCTCTCATCCTAATGACAGAACAGCGTCTGCTGGTTATACAGTAACAGCAGACGCTGTTCTGTCATTAGGATGAGAGCTTAGCAGTGTCGGCTTTCATATCCCCGCCGGCTCCGACAAGCTCTAATTCTAATGACAGCTGGTCCCGGCCAATAGAAAACAGTTGTTCTGTCATTAGGATGAGAGCTTAGCAGAGTCGGCTTTCATATCTCTGCCAGCTCTCCTAAGCTCTCGTCGTAATGACACATGGGCGTCCATGGTTACCTGGAGAGGCGTCCATGGTTACACACTGAGAACCCGTCGGAGCTGCTGTGATTTTACAGCAGCTCCGCTGGGTTCCCAGTGTACTGAGGAGCCGCAGTGTAATGACAGAAGGTGTCCCTGGTTATCAGGTAACCAGGGATGCCTTCTGTCATTACACACAGAACCCAGCGGAGCTGCTGTGATTTTACAGCAGCTCCAATGGGTTCTCATTGTAATGATAGAACGGCATCTCTCTGGTTATCTGCTAACCAGGGATGCTGATCTCTCTGCAAGTGGCCGGAGCCAGCCGTGAGATGACGGCTGGTCCTCCCCAGCTGTCAGAAGCAGGCTGTTGGCCGGCCAGCTTCGATTTTCCCCTGGGCTCAGTCAAGCCGAAGCATATGCCTTCGGCTCGACTGAGCCCCTTGGCCAACTTCAGGGGCTGTACGGGCTATAGTGAATAGCCCGTAAATCAGCCCTGAACCGAAGGGGTCCTGGGGCCAAAGCTACCCGAAGGATCAGCCGAAGCTACAGCTAGATCCTTCAGTACCTTTGTGAATAGACTACATAGTCTTTGCACATGCCTATGACTTACCATGCTTGCATTTAACGTGGAAAAATATATCTGATGCAAGTTTGAATTTAAAGATGAGGTTGGATGGGCACTTTTAGTGCCCTGTCTAATAGTTACATAGTTAAATCTTGCAATAGCATTTGACTTTCATTTTGCATGTACCTTTGGGTTGATCTACCAATTTCATGTGGCAAGGAGAAAGTGATATAGATTCTAAATCCAAATCCCTTTCTGTAATCCTAGGGCTGTCTGATGATGAACATCACAGGGTTGTGTCCTTGACACGCTTGGCTTACAGGAAGTGGGTTGAACAGGGAAGAGGAGCAGTGGCCAGGCCTGGAACAGGATCAGGAGTGCAGCACTAGGGCATTAAGAGGGTGCATACTTATTTGGAAAAAATGTTAGTTCAGTTGAGCTTTAAAAAAAAATCAGTAATATTGCCATTGTTCTTTTTTAAATAAATACCCTAATGTCATGTTTTGGATAGCTGTGCCTAAGAGGCCTTTCCTTACTTGATCCCACCAAAGATTTTGATTATCTTTCTCCTTTGTTTGACCTAAAAGAAACTACAATGTTTTTGGAGTTCTGTAGACTCTAAAGAACTTGATTAAAGTTGGATACAACATATAGTCTAAAATATATGACATGCTATTCAGAGTAGTTAATTAGCTCTCATGATGATTAACTTTTCATTATAGCTGCATTATTTGTTTGTAGCAGCTGATTAAAATCCCTGCATCAGGCTTAGCCATCTCTATACTCTCAGGAACTGGGAGATTGCTGAACACAAACCTAACAGAGAAAAAGAGCAAGAGGTAACATATTTCACATATTGCAGATGAGATATGAAATAAATACTAATATTAAAAGACTTTAGGGAAAGCTTGCATTTGATGGTGAAAATATTAGGTAGCTTTTTATTTATGTCTTGTGAAGGTAAACCTGTAAAACAGAAATACGGTAGCTGCTGCTTGCTCCTTTTTAAAGGTGTTGGCTCAGAGGCTGTCATTCTGATTCTTGTTTCAAAAACCTGTAGCAGCAAATACCTAAGAAGCTGCTGGAATGTTAGATTTTTCTGCCTTTGCCAGTGGTGACCTGCCCTTTACTTGACCTGACAGCTCACCGACACACCAGTAGTGATACAATGGGCTTTATTTAAGAAGAAATAAGCCCTGTAAGGGAAGCGCTGATTAAAGTTTCAACAGTTAGGAAGTTAATACTTTGCAGAATGTCTTTCTGCCCCTTTCCAGGGCTCTCCCCCTGGCTCTGGTTCCATGGACCCAGGGGCAGTGCTAGTTTGACCGTTGATGTGGCCAATCCCAGTGCTGCTCCCTCCTCCTTCCTTGCAGCCAGTCCATAAAGGCTGAGGGATCCTGATGATGCCCCAGGCTGTGTGGCTCCTGCTACTTTAAGGGACCACCAGCCAGCGCTACACCTAATAAGTATCCGACAAAGAATAAGCATGCTCCTACATCTGAAAACTCCAACCTCCCAATCTGCACACTTACCAGGTTAGTCACTTACTATGTAGTTATCAGGATCAGGGTAGCTACATCTATACAAGTTAGCAGTGTTCACATATTCTCTAATAAGGCTTATAAGCAAGTTATTGTTAAACAAAATGCATAGCATGGATGGGCACTGTCATTGGGGCATGTAGAATGACAAAATAAAAAAACTTTTTATTCTTTAAATTACAGGCTTAAGGGTAAGTCTTAGATGGTGTTCTGAATTAGCACAATTATCATGGACAGCCTCAGTGAGCATGCTCTGGCACAGCATTCAGTATTTGGTTGTGGGCTTCATTTCTTGTACTTCAGTTTAAAGGTTCCAGTTTTAAAAAAGGCATTTTCAGGTAGTTTTAGCAGAAAACATGCTGCTTAATTAAGCAGCGCTATGCCTGCTTTGTCTGGTGTAAGTAGCAGCTGCAACAGATCTCATAGCCATAGGAAGGTGCCTTCTTTAAAAAAATGCAGCAAAAGTTAAAATTGGCTAGTGGCACAACAGTTTGATGGCATAGTTTGTGAGTTCCATTTTATTGCTGTTCTCTGCATCACCATAAGAGATTAAAAAATGCATCTCATTTTGGACCTGCCTGTCACTGTACCATTTTTTTGGAGGTTAATAGAATGACTAACTTTTATTATACTATGTCGATGGAGGGTGTGATATTGTGGTGTGGTGCTCATTGTTACCACACAGCAATGCCGTGATGTGCTGAGTACAAATTACAGTGTTCAACAACAAGTGTATGGTGTGCTCCCCAAACTTAAAAAATAGCGGCAATGCAAAATTTAAAAATATACTCCCTCAAAAAATGAAACCCTTGAAGCTGAATTTCAGGTATAAAGTATGACGCATACTTTATTTGTTCCAGCTTGGCCCAATGTAAGTATGCATCAGATATACCTGGTCACCCAATGGGGATCCTGTGAAGCATTGTAGTAGCTGGAGCTACTACAGTGCTTTACAGTGATCTTCCAGGTTCTGTATGGTGCTGAGCAGCTTTCCTTCTGCTTTAAAAACACAAGGGCGTGCTCACTCAGTACAGCAGCCATTCAACTTACGCCTAGCATTTTTATTAATGAATACAGGTGTTCTCTAATTGGACGAGGGCAGATCATGATGTCATCACCCCTCAACCAATAAGAGAATGTCCTGTTTCTTTATTACTTA